ACGTCCAGAGTCAGGATGCTTTAGAGAGTTCACCGTCTGGAGTGTGTGTTTCTCTGTCTGGAGTGTGTGTTTCTCCGTCTGGAGTGTGTGTTTCTCTGTCCGGAGTGTGTGTTTCTCCGTCTGGAGTGTGTGTTTCTCTGTCCGGAGTGTGTGTTTCTCCGTCTGGAGTGTGTGTTTCTCTGTCTGGAGTGTGTGTTTCTCCGTCTGGAGTGTGTGTTTCTCCGTCTGGAGTGTGTGTTTCTCTGTCTGGAGTGTGTGTTTCTCTGTCTGGAGTGTGTGTTTCTCCGTCTGGAGTGTGTGTTTCTCTGTCTGGAGTGTGTGTTTCTCTGTCTGGAGTGTGTGTTTCTCTGTCTGGAGTGTGTGTTTCTCTGTCTGGAGTGTGTGTTTCTCCGTCTGGAGTGTGTGTTTCTCTGTCTGGAGTGTGTGTTTCTCTGTCTGGAGTGTGTGTTTCTCTGTCTGGAGTGTGTGTTTCTCTGTCTGGAGTGTGTGTTTCTCCGTCTGGAGTGTGTGTTTCTCCGTCTGGAGTGTGTGTTTCTCTGTCTGGAGTGTGTGTTTCTCTGTCTGGAGTGTGTGTCCAGAATCTCGAGCTGTTGTGTTCGGATGCGCTGTAAAGGCCTTTGACCCGTTCATCATGTGCGCTCTCGACTCGATCGTGTGTATCGGCAGAATGATTCGCGCACTGGAGCCGAATGGAGAGTTTCCTCTAGTGGACGCGTGTGGAACTGCAGCCGAACACACACACACACACACACACACACTGAACGCTCCTTTACTGAGATATCAGACTCGCATGCGGAACACACACTTGTTTACATTTATGGATTTGGTTTTCCTGCAGTTTTAGAGTACAATGTGATTTTGAATAAATATATTTCATAAAAAAAATGAAAATAGTATTTTTGCATATTTTTCATAATACGTAAAATTCCGTAACTTTTAAGTTAACTTTTTTCACTTCTGCAATAATCTGCCGAGTGTCGTCTGTGAGCTTCAGTCTGTCGCTCTAAAGCGTTTTAGAGAGTTTTACCAGTTTAAGATGGACATGTCATTTTTAGGTCTACGCTCAAAAAGTTCATAAATATAACAGTATTAAAAAAATCCCCTAAAAATACGAAATATGTATTATGTGTATGATAAAAAAATGTATCTAAAATATTAACTAAAATACAGTACATTAATTTCATTGACAAAAAAAATTCTAGTAATTTTGGACGAGCTCCAGAGATTAGACTCGTGTCCTTCATCAGAGGAGTCTAGAGTCGAAACGAAAGGATTTGAAGACGTGGATCGCCCTTTCCCACACATGATGAGGATGAGGAGGATGATGATGAAGCTCTGCTCGGCTGAGTTACCTGAACGGCTCTGGACTGCACTGTCTTTTTTAAGCTCTCAACATCTTCTATAAAGGGGACATCCGTCTCCATTTCTACAGGACGGTTCAGTCCAGACGGATCGACATACAGAACGCACTAGTGGAACAGAAACAGAAACACGGACGTTAGCGGGAGCCGCTAGCAGCGACTGCAGATGCACACGGGCGTCAGTGGGAGAGTGAGTCCGGCCACGGGATTGACAGCAATGCATGATGGGATTGAGAGACTCACCTGCGGGTTGGACTTGGCCAGACTCTCGATCTTTATCCAGGCCTCCTCTCGCTCCTTCAGCTTGGCCTTCTCTCTGGAAGCAGAAGTGTGTTGGTCAGGCACGGGTGGGTCACATGACCGTGTGTGTGTGTGTGTGTGTGCGACTCACTTGTTCTTCTCGGCTCTGAACTGCTGTGTGCAGTCGTCGAACAGCTTCTGGTTCATCTCCATGAAGAGCTTCAGTGCGTTATAGATCAGACCGTGGATCGTCCTGCACACACACACACAGGAGAGGGACCAGTACATCGTGTGTTATAGAATATCATATTCATAACCCTCACACAAACGCCTCGCCGTCTTTACATTACACGTTTAGCGACGTTGATTTGGCAGAGGTTTACCACACGTTCACTGGCGCTCGAAACTAGGAATCATTATCATTTTTTTAAAAGTGTTTCCAAAGCTGCGTTTATCTGATCATAAATACATTCAAACTCCAGAGTAAATTTTCTATGTGGATATACAGTAAAGTGTAATTTATTCCTGTGTTCAGTGTCACATGACCCTTCAGAAATCACTCTAATATGAGGATCTGATGATCAAGGGTCGTGTAACGCTTCAGTTCAGTTTTCAGATCATACAATATAAATGCAAAAATGCTAAATTGAAACCAGTCGTTCATTCCTCTGGTTTTTCAGTGACATCATCAGTGGATATTTGCCATTTTCTCCCCTTTTTTCAATTTTACTGCTGCTAAATTATGACTTTTGAAGAAACAATCATTTGAATAACTGAAATCTTGACTATTCTCTATTTTCACATTTTTAAAAATGTTAGTTTTTTTGTCTTGTAATTTGCGCGTGGGCTGTAGCATTAGCACGGGTGTGTGGCCAGCGACTGCTAGCATAGCATTTACTGAGCTACTGTCTCTACATCTGATCCAGAACAAGCAGAAATCTGAGAAATACATCAACCCAAACACAAAAGAGCAGATCCGAGTCATCTGTCGTGTGTGTGTGTGTGTGTGTGTGTTCAGTCTCAGCTGGTGTCCATCATGTGACTCACTTGTTCCAGTGGCTCTTGGAGTTTCGGTAGAGCGCCGGGAACATGATGGGCAGGATCCTGGCTGCGTTGTCACTGATGAGGCTCATGATGTACTCGTTGTTCCAGTAATACAGCGCTCTCTCCGCCACCTGACGGAAACACACGTCACAGTAAGCAGATTCATTCTCTGAGTCTGATATAATGCATCGCTTTGGTTATTTTTCCACAAAAATCTCTGATCTGTTCGTTCCCCTGACATATTCTATTTTCTACTCTTTTGTTGTTGTGTGTGTGTGTGTGTGTGTCCATGGTTTAGTGTGGCTTCTGTATGTTGGAAACACTGGTCTATATGGACAATCTGGTCAATTAAAGTTCTCAAAATAACAGACCCAAAACATTAAACATCATTCATCTGACGTTTGTAATGTTAGTACTAGTTTCAGAACGTTCCCATTATGTTTGGAGAACGACACAATGGAATGTTTCCTTAATGTTCACATACCCAAGAACAATGTGTAGAAACATGAAGTTCAGATGCAAAAGCCTCTAAGTGCCATTTGAAATTTTCTTCTAAAATGATCATTTTTATCAAGCTTGTATATTTAAGTTCAGTAATTTCACTTAAATGGCAATGAAGATTACCTATTAATTGTCATTTAAGTGAAATTACTGAACTTAAATATACAAGCTTGATAAAAATGGTCATTTTAGAAGAAAATTTCAAATGGCATTTAGAGGCTTTTGCATCTGAACTCTTCACATTTAAAACATTTAAAACTGTGATATAAACCCAGTGTTTAATGTTGTTTATGTGTGTGTGTGGTGTGTTTAATCTGCTTTAACACACACCGTGTGTGAGTTGATAAGTGGACAGCATTGCTGAGTATTTCCTCCTCTAAACTGCAGTGAACCAAAGACAGTCTCAAAAACACGCTTTGAAATCGCTGGTGTTTCTGACGTCACAAACCACCTTGTAACCAATCAGATCAACGTGTGTGAGTCAACCAGTGGATCTGAGTGGAGGCGGGGCTCATTCGCATATTCATAGAACCATGCATACTAAATGAGGCGAGGGTGTCGGGTTACATTCAAGATATTTTAAGACATGAAGTGCGAATAACTCATAACTCCACCTCAGACGGCTTCAGGGCGAGTAAATCATGAGGTGATCTTAATCTTTGGGTGAACTATCCGTTTATTAGCGCACACGGCTGCTGGTGCTGTAATCGAGCGCTCGCACCTGGAAGTGAGGGCTGGACACACACTTGGCCAGCTGACGGAAGAGCGGCTCCATGACCTTGACGAACTCCGACGGCTCGATGACGTCCAGGATCTCCTCCAGCTCGTTCAGGAACATCACCTCCTTCGGGCTGTGGGTCTTGGGCCAGTACTTGAGCAGAGCCATCACCACCTGCACACGGGCGGCACAGCGTCAGTCACGTGATCACCCTCATCAGCCAATCAGAGAGAGCGAAGTCTTACCGGCTCTGTGAGCGTGCTGTCCTTCTCCAGGAACTGGACCACACAATACGCCAGCTGAGCGAGAACACACGGCGTTAGCACTGAGCGCACACGAGTCACATGAGGAGGCACTTCAGAATCACAATCTCCTGATGAGTTACTCTCGTCCTCCGAGATGTTCATGTGTTTCGTTCTTCAGTCCAGAAGAAATGAAGGTTTGTGAGGAACACACTCCAGGGTTTCGCCATTGAGTGACTTCAATGGGGTCCAACGGGTCGAAGGTCAGATGTGAGTTTTTAAAGACTCGACACGATCCAGCCGAGGAATAAGAGTCTGATCTAGACAAACCAGCGACATTTACAACAAAATACACATTTATATACTTTAACCACTAATGCTGGTGTTGCTCGAGCTGCATTACGAGATCAGGGTGAAAGGTCACGTGTGTTTTGGTTCTGAAATCGTATTTTCCTTCGACGTTGTGGTTTTACCTTTGATTTATTTATTTTGTAAATGGCGTTTGACTCAGTCTTTGTAAACACTGGGTCTGTTCTTACGCCTACGTCACGCTTGACCTTTGAGAGCTTTTCCTCAGAAACCTTCATTTCTTGAAGAAAGGTCACATGAACGTCTTGGGAGTCATGGGAGACGGAGGTCCTGAAGCGAGTGAGGAGATGCGGCGACTGACCTGCGGGTGGTAGACGCTCAGAGACTTCACCTTGTGCAGCGGAAGCAAAACCTTCAGCAGGAAAATCTTGTGCTCCTCTTTTAGCGGTAAAGCAAAACCGTTGATGATGCTGTCGGAGAGAAGGAACACGCCCGTCAGAGGATTTCCCAGCATGCAAAGGGACACACATCACAAGCTCATGTTTACCTTCCTAGGATCTCCAGCAGTTCAGCTATTCCGTTGTGATGCTCGGTCTCGTAAATAAACCTGCGCACACACACACACAGAACACTGAGGCATTCTGGGCGACGGTTCCTTCCTATCCGAGTTCCACATTTACACCCAGTCATGTGACTCAGCCGTGCCGGCACTGCTCACCTGTAAAATATGTTGTTAACTTGCTTTCTGATGTAAGCGCGCAGCCCGAGGAACTTCCCGTATATGCGGTGCAGGGTGGTCTTCAGGAAGTCCCGTTCTCGAGGATCTTCGCTGTCAAACAACTCTAGAAGCTGCAGTAGAGGTCAGAGGTCAACAGGTTTAAACTAGTATTAGAAACTTTCATTTATTAATGGACACATTGATGCCTCTTCTGCAGGCTGTGTTCAGAAATACAGTAAAACAGTGAAATATGATTATAATATAAATCATCTGTTTTCTATGTGGATATACAGTAAAGTGTAATTTATTCCTGTGTTCAGTGTCACATGACCCTTCAGAAATCACTCTAATATGAGGATCTGATGATCAACAAACAGTTATGATTATTATCAGTGTTGAAAACAATTTATATTTTTGTGGAAACTGTGATACATTTAATTTTTCAGGATTCGTTGATTAATAAAAAAATAAAAAAAATCGAAAGAACAGCATTAATTTGAAACGGAATCTTTTGTAATATTATAAATGCGTTACTGTCACTTTTGATACATTTAATGCGTCCTATTAATAAAAGTATAAATTTACTTATTTTTTCCCCCTAAAACTTTTGAATGGAAGTGTTTTTTCAACGCTGATTATAATCATAACTGTGTGTTGATCATCAGATCCTCATATTAGAGTGATTTGTGAAGGGTCATGTGACTCTGAAGACTGGAGTAATGATTGATTTGATCACAGGAATAAATTACACTTTACTGTATATATCCACATAGAGAACAGATGATTTACATTATAATCATATTTCAGTTGTTAAGCAGAAGAGACTCTTTCAGAAACATTAAATCATCCTCTTGATTACAGACCGTTCTCCGCTAATGTGGATACAGTGAAAGTTTACCTGCATCACAAATTTCTGGTCGATGTACTTCTTTGCAACATTGGGCTGAAAGTCGGGCGACTCTAGAAAGCGCAGGAAGAACTCGTACACCAGCTTCGGGACACAGAGATGAGCAACAGGTCAAACCAGCTCTAATGCTGTTATTCAGACGCTCTCGTTCACGCCGACAACCAACCAGACGCCGCCGAGAACAGCCGACATCGGCTCTGATTGGTCGTGGTGTGAACGGTGTCGGGGTCATGTGATTGATGATGTCATCAGCACCTGTAGGTGAGGCCACGCTGCTTCCAGAGTGGGTTCGTCCTCCTCGGGGTCAAACTCTGCTCCCGTCGGGTTGGAGGAAGGCGGAAGAGCCCTGAACATGTTGATGGCAAACTGCAACACACACAGGAAGACGCATCATCAGCACACGCCATCCGAACCGTTCACAGCTCAGGTACTGATCACCTGCTTTATTTCATCTTAAAAGTGTTAGTTGGGATTATTAACTTTATATTCAAGCAATATCTCTGATTATATGAGAACTGAGCTGGACGATGACATCACGGTTTCTCCAGAGCGCATGTATATATATATTAGGGCTGTGCAAAAATTAATTGCGATTAATCGGATCCAAAATAAAAGTCTGTGTTTACATAATATATTTGTGTGTGCTGTATATAATTATTTTGTATATATAAATACACACACATGCATGTATATATTTAAGAAAATGTGTTATTCATATATAAAATATTTATATTTATATAATATTGATTATGTTTTTATAAATATATACAGAATTTAAGCGCAAATAATTCTTAAATATATACATGCATGCATAGGTATTTATATATACAAAATAATTATATACAGCACACACAAATATATTATGTAAACACAGACTTTTATTTTGGATGCGATTAATTGCAATTAATTTTTGCACAGCCCTAATATATATATATATATATATATATATATATATATATATATATATCTATGAAGTAAATGAATAACTGTTTTACACCAGAAACGAGCATCGCTGGACGGACTGAAGCCGGACTGAGACGCTCTTCTCTTCTGGACACAAACGGCTGCATTATGTCCTCGGCCGGCGCCGACTCACCATGTGCACCACCTCGGGGTAGATGGGCTCGGTGATCACGCTGCGGTTGTGTGTGAGGAACTCCACCATCTCGCTGAGCGCCGCGCGCTTCACCTCCTTCCATTTCAGGTCGCTGAGCGGGTCCGACAGGAAGTCGAAGAGGACGCAGCACTGGCGCAGCTTCTGGACGAAGAGCTTCTCCTGCTCGGCCGGAGCCACGTCTGCAACACACACACACACACACACACACAGATCAGCTCATCACTGATGATCTCTGTAACACACACACATTTACATTTATTCACTCAGCAGACGCTTTTATCCAAAGTGATTTACAAATGAGGACAGTAGACAGAGGACAGAGGACAGTATTAATCTCAGTTTAATAAAGCGGAGAGAGAGAGTTATTCTTCAGGATCGTGTGCTGTGGGGAGAGATGGTCTTCAGCAGTTTCCGAGAGTGGAGTCGGGCGTCTCATTCCCCGGCAGGAACGGTCACGCTGACGGTCCGAGATAGAGAGTGTCGTGAACTTCACTAATTCCTGTTTAGTTAGCGAACGCTCAGCGGACTCGTGTGACGGAAGATCAGTGTCTTCATGAGCAAACCTGTTTATTGTTCTATTTATCAGATACTATTGTACTATTGAGACAATAACACGTTTGCAGTAACACACAGATGTCATTATATCATTTTGTTAAAAGTATTATTTTAATTTGAAAACACTGCATTTAGTTGCTGCTAGTTTGAGTTTCGGCGTGATCACTAATCTGTGTGTGTTCTCAAGCTGAATCACGAAACCATGTGTTTATTAACTCACAATCGCAGTTTGAGATTCCCCAGATAACCCCGACCGAGACGATCCCCACGGATCAGCAAAACTAGGCTCATTCAGTCGGATCCATTCGATTCTGAATAAATAAACAACGTAGTTTACATGATTCGTCCTTGTTACATCATTCATAAAGATAATAATTCATAAATTCACGCAATAAATGCAATACATGCCTTTCAAATTATGTGTGCAAAATTCAGAATTAAATGAATGTGCAGCAATTTGTACAAATTAAATAAGCGCATTTACTTTCATATTTATTCAAATATTATAATGTTTATTTTTTTCCATGTTGATTATGAAAGTGATCAGAGTAGCTAGATAGGAGGATACGCGATATGGGACATATGACATGAGTGGAGCGGTTCTGGCATGATTTTGGCCACTTCATTATGGGTCCCGTATTATTTCTCTGATGTTTGTGAAGCTCAAAATACCCAACAGATCATTTTTACAGCATGTTTAAATTGTCATTTTTTGGGGCTCAGAAAAACGCGCTGTGTGAGTGTGTGCCCTTTAAATGCAAATGAGCTGCTGCTGCCGGCACAGGGGGCGGAGCTTCACGAGCTCGCTCTCAGTCTCTCATGATGATGATATCAGAAACTCTCAGTAACGTGTTCATTTCCAGTCGGACAGTAATGCCCACAGAGTCGGAGTGCTGTATAGAGATGGGACAGGTATAGTTTAGTAGTTTAATTACGGTTATTATTACGTATTTGTCATCTGCTTGTATGTATCCATTATTCATTAATAGCCTGCAAGTCTGCTGTTTCGGTCCGAATGATGATCAAACATATACTGATGAGTTTAAGAAAGTTTATTTTACATCACACAAAAGATGAAGCGTCAGTTTTACTTCAGAAAATCACCGTAAGAGCTGAGTAAACACCGTTCCTGTGGGCGGACGCTAGTCACAAAACTGTCCTACTGACGTAGAGGGATGTAGTCCAAACGGGCCGTTCGATGTAGGAAACAAGTGTTAAAGAAAACATCTCGCGGATTTAATAAACAAGAAGCGAATATAGCAGAAGCTAACATCATGACCTGGAGGCGCCGGCGAGCCGCGGTGACCATCTCGTCATACACTTACAGCCATTCTCGGCACACTCGTCACCCGATTACACATGCACATCATAGTTGATGGACACACACACACACGCGCGTCATGTTGCACAGCTCTTCTAGCGCCCTCAGCATAAAAAAAAAGATCTGCCGTCACCCCGGCTATCACGACCCGCTGGCCGGGTTTAAATCGGCTCGGGCTCACAACTAGAGTTAATGTGTCGGGTCGGGCTTGATTCTTTTGGGCCCGATCTAAGCTCGACTGTGAAGACCACACACACACACACACACACACACACACACACACAATCAAACGTGCATGTCTGTAGACCAGGGCTATTCAATTGGTGCCCGTGGGCCAAGTGCGACCCGCCAATCATCTCCATCCGGCCCGAGGACACTCCCACCTCCCTCCTCCTCCGGTTAACTTTCGTTAGATATGCGTGTGGCTATCTATGTAGAAAATTAACTCTATAATTAGATGTTTAGATTTAAAGCATTTTATTCATTTTATTTGAGTATTGATATTATATATGTGTAATAAATAGCAACTGAATTTATTAATTTGGGCAGTTGTTACCGACCCGCATGTGTGTCGTTACACCCGCGATATATATATATAACAGAGGAGATCATACTGATTGATCAATTATTAGCCGACAGTGACTCAATCACACACACACACACACACACACACACACACACACACACACACACACACACACACACACACAATCACTCTCTCTCTCTCTCTCACACACACACACAAACACACACTATCTCTCACATAAGCACTCTCTCTCTCTCACACACACACAGTCTCTCTCTCTCTCTCTCACACACACACACACAATCTCTCACACACAAGCACTCTCTCTCTCTCTCACACACAAACACTGTCTCTTACACACACATTCTCTCTCTCTCTCATACACACAGTCTCTCTCTTACACACACACCTTCTCTCTCTCTCTGTCTCACACACACACACTCTTTCTCTTACACACACAAGAGAGAAATACACCTAAACACCGTAACACACACACACACGCTCGGTTGAGCAGTGACCTCACTTCCTGTGACGTCAGTGCTGGAGTGGGGGGGATGGGCAGGAGACGCTCAGACTGAAGCTCTCTGTGTCTCACGCAGCACTTCAATGACACACACACACACACACACACACACACCCAGAAAACCAGCCGAATGAACCATGCATCGCTGAGCACGGGCGAGCGAGCCGCTGATGTCACTCACCCCTGAAGTGCATGAGAGCCACGGGCGGGAAGGGCCCGTTGGGATTGGCAGCGTCGATGACCATCTTCCTCAGACGATCCTCATCTTCATCGACACACACACACACACACACGGAGCAGCCTCCATTACAGCTCCAGCTGGACACAAAATGAGCTGTGTGCTGAGGAACGACTGCTCAGTGATGTCAGCGAGGAGGAGCCAGCCGATTGGCCACTGCACCCACAGCGGTGACATCACCACACTGCTGGGCAAGCGCCAGCCTATTGGTTAGGGAGAGGAGGAGGCGGGACTTACGTGCCCTCCAGCACTGATATAAAGCAGTCGCGCCTCATTACCTCCACAGAAGCACAACTACAGCTGAACTCAAACACACTCTTTCTTACACACACACACACACAAACACACACACACACACACTCTCTTTCTTACACAAACTCAAACACACTCAGTGCTGTCAAACTAACATCATTTTTAATTACCGCTGAGAAACACTGAGTCTGAGCTCAAACACACACACACACACACACACACACTTTTACGGAAAGGGTTGACAGATTGATCGCTCTTTCTCGATTCTGTGTGTGGTGGGGCATGGCCGTTCTTAGTTGGTGGAGCGATTTGTCTGGTTTATTCCGATAACGATCAAGACTCCAGCATGCTAACTAGTTACGCGGCCTGCGGTCGGCTATCCGGAGCCAATCAAAGTCCCACGGCGCCGCGGTATCGTGAACCGAGTCCAAGACCAGGACTAGTGGAGACCCAGAGGAGTCCAAGACCAGGACTAGAGTCACTGAAGCGTCACTGAGATCAGAGCGACGGAAGTGTGTGTGTGTGTGTGTGTCACTGATGAACTGAACAATACAGTGTCACTGAGACGCAGGTCAGCCCTCATGAGCATCCGCTGAGATCTAAATTATGCAGGACGAACATCCTGTTGATTAGAGAACAGACCAGATCCAGCGGAGCATCGATTCCTAATCCAGGGCCTAAACTGATGCTTAAGATGGACAGAAACACTGATGTAGTAGAGATCACCACACACACACACACACACACACACCTGTGAGAGCGTCCAGTGGCTCCAGCTCCCTGCTGATGCTCACACACACACTCAGTCTGCGATGTGTGTTCGGGCCGGATGTGTGTTTTCTGGTCCTGATCTTCTTATTCAGACCCTGATGAAACCGGAGTCACACAAGCAGATTCCCGTTACAAGCCTGATTTCCTGAAGCTGGGATCATTTATCCTCACACACACACACACACACACACACACACTGGACCCAAATCAGCTGCGCTCTCTCTCTCTCTCTCTCTCTCTCTCACACACACACACACAGTTCTGCACTTCTGTGTGTTGTTTGCACGGCTCTGTTAATTAAAGCTCTTCTACAGTAATGTCCACACTGGAATGGCTTATGATGAACTGCTGAGGTAAACAGCTCTCCTTAGATTACAATACATCTTATATAATGAACTATAATAATAATAATAATTCCAATCTGAATGCAATGGCTATTTTTATGATTACTGAAATGCTTTAGCTACAATGGTCGAATGGCTGAAAACTGGCAAAGTATGAAAAATTGGGCACATGTCATTCTGTGTGTATTGCTAAATATCAGCATTAAGTTCTAAACTAACATGGCATACAGGCAACTAATCAGAGCATTTTCCTCTTTACCTATTTTCATCCAATAATCAATCATTTACCTCATTTTCAGAGTCCTGATCATCTTCATGCTGTTTGCCTCCCTTTCTGCTGGATTTCACACACTGAAAACAGATTAGATCGACAGATACACTACGGTCAAAACTTTTAGATTGTTTATGTTTTTAAAAGAAGTCTCTTCTGCTCACCAAGGCTGCAATTATTTGATAAAAAAAAAAAAAAAACAGTAATATGAAATATGGTGTAATATGGTGAAATATTATTACAATTTAAAACAGCGGGCCGGTTTTCTATGTGAATATATAGTGAAGTGTAATTTATTCCTGTGATCAAGGCTGAATTTACAGCATCAAATTCAAATTCAAATGTATTTATAAGGCACTGAATAAAACAACAGAGTTGACCATAGTGCTGTACAGGCAGTAAAACCATAAACAGAAGAATAAAAGAAAAATGTACATCCACATATCTAATTAGGTAATATATTAGGCTTCATCATTCAACAACATGTATTTATAAAGACTGGAGTAATTTATCATTACTCCAGTCTTCAGTGTCACATGACCCTTCAGAAATTATTATAATATGATGCTCAAGAAACATTTATGATTATTATCCATGTTGAAAACAGTTTTTTACATTTTCATTTCAGGATTCTTTGATGAATAGAAAGTTCAAAAGAACAGAATTGATCTGAAATGGAAAGCTTTTGTAACATTAATCACTACCTTTCAAAAGTTTGGAGTCAGTAAGAATTTATTTTTTATTTTTGGGGGAAAGAAATTAGAAAATACTTTTATTCATCAAGGAGTTAAATTGATCCAAAGTTACAGTAAAGACATTTATAATGTTAGAAAAGATTATATTTTAAATAAATTTCTATTCATCATAGAATTTTGGGGGAAAAAATGGTACACGACTGTTTTCAACAATGAAAATAATAATTTATGTTTTTTGAGCATAAAATCAGCATATTAGAATGATTTCTGAAGGATAAAAACTGATGTGTAATCACCAACAGTAATGATGTTGAATATTTAGCTTTCAAATTACATTTTAAAATATATTAAAATAGAAAACAGTCATTTTAAATTGTCATAATATTTCACAATATTACTGTTTGTCATTTTTTTCATCAAATAAAGCAGCCTTGGTAAGCAGAAGAGACTTCATTTAAAAACATAACAAATCTTACTGATCTAAAACTTTTGACTGGTAGTGTAGATAGAGTTCATTGAGGTAATCTTCAGTTAGTCTATAATGTTTTCAATACAGAAAGTCTTACCTTGTCTTTCTTTGACTTATGCGGCTTCATGAGTGACATGATCATGACCTGACTGACTGACTGTCACTGACTGACTGAACACACACACACGCGCGCGCGCGCGCTGATTGACAGGGAACGTTGCCAGTCACGTGATAGCAGCTGCTCCATTTATTTACGGTTCAAAACCTCTATGTTCAAAACAGACTTTAGTTTAGGTTTCATGTAAGTTATTGTTTAGGTTTAGTAGTCGAGATATTAAGTAAGTGAGCGACATGCTTCTAGACTCAATGCAAAAGTCGATCAAGCCTCAAAGATTTTTAAGCAGTCTGCCACCTTATAAGATTTATTATAATATTATATATTTCCATGTGTACGTGTTTATATTAGTATTATTATTTTTCTTTTATATCATGTGGGTGTGATGCACAAGAAAAGCCATAGGAGAAAAGCGATGACGCAAAGACGTGTGACGCTTTTCGACTTTCTGGGTAATGTAGTTCAAATGTCAAGTTTATTAATACGCTCCCCTGGTGGAAAAACTACATATCACAGACTTCCGCGAAACAATAAAGTTCCCTGACGCGCTGGGCGCTGGTCATTACGGTGATGTGACAGAGTCCGTGATACAGCGCGATCTCTCTCACAGTTCACTCATCGGTTAATTTCGGTTAGTCTTGGCTCATTGTGCAGGGAAATGTCTGACAGTGGCGGGGGAGAGGACGGTGGCGGTGTGATGGAGGGTTCTGCTGCCGTACACACAGTGGCGGACGCCTCAGTGCTGCAGAAACACATCCGAAAGCTCGTGCCACTGCTCCTGGAAGATGGCGGAGACGCGCCCGCGGCCCTCGAGAGCGCGCTGGAGGAGAAGAGCGCGCTCGAGCAGATGAAAAAGTTCCTGTCAGATCCACAGATTCACTCGATTCTGGTGGAACGGAACGCGCTGAAAGGTTAAAACCCGCATGATCATCAATTAATCACATCTTAAGAGTTAGAATCACTCTCATGCGTTATTAAGCTCATGATGTGCTGGTTTGCCGCGACTGTCAATCGATTCAGTGATGTTTTATTGCATTATCGCTGGGTTTGTGTGGCCCCGCCCTGTTTAAGTCGCTCCTGTGGTGTGTCAAAAATAAACGTTTAGGTAATGTTTATTTTAGAAACATGGGTGTGAAGAGACTGCTTAAATTTGTGATTAAAAAATGTCAACAATAAGTGATCAATGTGCGTTCAGGGCGTGTTTGCTGCACTGCAGATCGGTGACGTCACGAATCACGATCATCCGAGTAATAACGATCGATTCCTCGATTTTAACCGGTATCGATTCAGCAATCGATCTGGTAACTTTAGTTGATCTTAGTTACGTGAACATTTTTTTGAAACGTTATTTCTAGCTCATGCTATCAAATAATCACATTAACCTTTGTTAGTTTTACGTAGTTTTTAAACAACTGATCCACTAAATTCAGTCAGGAAGTGTTTGTTTGTGTGTCTTTAATATGTAACATCTCTTCATCTTTACTACTAGTTACAGCAGCAAATAAATATCAATGAACATCAGGAGGAATGTTGAACTATTCAGAACAACTTCCAGAAATAAAAACATGTCTGTAATCCATCAGTCAGCGTTTCAGTCCGAGAAAACGCCAGTTTAAATTGTCATGTTATATTTACCTCAGTCGTTTAATGACGATAAACTTGATAGTTAGCTTGTGAAATAACTCTATAGAAGAGCATTCTGTTAAATATATGTGTTATGCAGTATTCATTATATTATATAGTGCTCTTCAGAAACACAACGGGTGATGTCACGCCCATATTGTATACAGTCTGTGATCATAACCTGTAATATTACAGTAATGCACAGGGTTCCTGTAGAGTTCACTGCTTCGGTTCTTTCATACTTGAGATGAATTGTCCTGAATCTGATATACAGTATATCCAGATGGATGGGGATTGATAATAGTGTAGCTCGTGCCGATGTGCTTCATGACGACAGGGATCGACGGGGCCAGGCTGTGTTCCTGTTTATGACTGTGCTCTTGTGTTCCAGACTCACACACACACACACACACACACACACACACAGCCTCACGTCACATGTCTGCTTTTATATAATAGTCGTGGTGAATGTTAAATAAAGGCGTATTTATGACAGCTGGTTGTTTCTTGTGATTGACGCAGAGGATGTTGGCGATGAAGGCGAGGAGGAGCGCGAGTGCATTTCCTACAGCGTTAGCATCGACATCCACTACGGGCTTAAATCTAACAGGTAACTAGCGGCAAACATGTGATCCTGATCTGTGTGTGTGCTAATGTGATCCTGATCCTGATCTGTGTGTGTGCTAATGTGATCCTGATCCTGATCTGTGTGTATCTCAGGTGTGTGTATCTCTGTGTGTATCTCTGCTAATGTGAACGTGTTGTTTCAGCCTGGCGTTGATCAAGCGTACGGGAGTGATCGACGCGGATAAACCGATCTCCACACAGGTGCGTGTCCTGACGCTCAGCGAGGACTCCCCGTACGAGACCCTGCACTCCTTCATCAGCAATGCGGTCGCTCCGTACTTCAAATCCTACATCCGGGAGTCTGGCAAAGCCGACAGGTAACGTCCGCCACACCCTTCCTGAAGGAGGAGGATCTTCTCCCTTAAAGACCTTTACAACCAAAGAAAGACACCGATCCGGTCGTGACGCGGATGTAATGCCTCAACATGCACCAATTTCTCTAAATGTCATAATCATCTGTTCTCACACAAGTTTTCATCTCTTCAGTGAGCTTAAATGAACACATTTCTAGTTAACTGATTTTATGTACAGTTGTGAAATACTCTGAGAACAGATCACTGTGGACTGGACTGATGCATGTTGTGAAAAGCGCTACACAGATGAAGGTGGATTGATTGGAAGAGTGTTTGTTGTGCAGGGATGGAGATAAGATGGCCCCGTCGGTGGAGAAGAAGATCGCGGAGCTGGAGATGGGGCTGCTGCACCTCCAGCAGAACATCGAGATCCCCGAGATCAGTCTGCTCATACACCCCACCATCAGCAACGTGGCCAAGCAGTGCTACGAGCGCGCCGAGAAGCCCAAGGTCACCGACTTCGGGGACAAGGTGGAGGATCCCAGCTTCCTGAACCAGCTGCAGTCCGGCGTCAACCGCTGGATCCGCGAGATACAGAAGGTGTGTGTGTGTGTGTGTGTGAGATCCCAGCTTCCTGAACCAGCTGCAGTCCGGCGAGATACAGAAGACTGACTTTAGTGTGAGCAGAAGTGCTGTTGTGTGAGGTTTGTGTGTGTGTGTGTGTGTGCAGGTGACGAAGCTGGACCGAGACCCGGCCTCGGGGACGGCCCTGCAGGAGATCAGCTTCTGGCTGAACCTGGAGCGCGCGCTGAACCGGATCCAGGAGAAGAGGGAGAGCCCCGAGGTGCTGCTCACGCTCGACATCCTGAAGCACGGCAAGCGCTTCCACGCCACCGTCAGCTTCGACACCGACACAGGTGAGCGTCACACTCTCAGACCGCGTCACCCGTCGAGGAAACACCATTACCTCAATGTTTTAAATAATCGGTAGAATACCCTAACCGTTCCTCGCTGCTTGTCTCTAACGCCTGTGTGTGTGTATGTGTCTCAGGACTAAAGCAGGCTGTGGAGACGGTGAACGATTACAACCCGCTGATGAAGGACTTCCCCCTCAACGACCTGCTGTCGGCCACCGAGCTGGACAAGATCCGGCAGGCGCTGGTGGCCATCTTCACTCACCTCCGCAAGATCCGGAACACCAAGTACCCGATCCAGCGAGCGCTGCGTCTGGTGGAGGCCATCTCGCGGGACCTGAGCTCGCAGCTGCTGAAGGTGCTGGGCACACGCAAGCTCATGCACGTGGCCTACGAGGAGTTCGAGAAGGTGCGCGCCGCCCCTTTAGGTCACGGTGAGAGCGGTACCGTCTCCTGCAGGCCCGCTCACGCTCCTCTCGTCCACAGGTGATGGTGGCGTGCTTCGAGGTGTTCCAGACGTGGGAGGACGAGTACGAGAAGCTGCAGGTGCTGCTGAGGGACATCGTGAAGAGGAAGCGGGAGGAGAACCTGAAGATGGTGTGGCGTCTGAGTCCGGCGCACCGCAAGCTGCAGGCCCGGCTGGACCACATGAGGCGCTTCCGGCGCCAGCACGAGCAGCTGCGGGCCGTCATCGTGCGCGTGCTGCGGCCTCAGGTGCGCCACCCGCTGTTCACACGAGCCAATGAGGACGTTCACAGCGACCCGTTCGGTGCAGGTTTCTTTAAATGATAAAAGCTAATAATGTGACAAATTTGAATTTTCTTTCTCAATGTTAAAAAAAGTTAACGTTATATCGTGCGAATATGGGTATAATTAATGAAATTCAAGTGTGCTACATCCGCCATGTTGTTACTGGCACTTGCTACTCTTTAGGGTTAGGGTAAAAAATATTGACTTCTCGATTTTAATCGATTCTCATTTTTACGAACCGATATCGATATTCTTAAATGCCCAGAATCGATTGATCTGTCCTGTTTTCAGTTGATGAATGAGCGGGACTTAGCAGTGCCCCCCATCCAATCAATAGCAAGAGCTAAGGGCTTTTAACACTTGATTTGAAACAAAGTCTCAGATTTCAAGTTATGTCCATTTTACTACGAAATTCACCAATCAACAGATGAACACGAGTGAGCATCAAACCCGTGTCATGTTTAATGTAATCACTAAATCAGTGTTTCGGAGAACAATGTCGCGTAACATCACATTTACCATTTATTCATAGACCGTAATCTCGTTAGTCAGCTGAAAAAGCTACCGGCTAAATAAATGCAAAATTTTTAATGTTCTCCAACATTTTAAATGTTTATTTATTCAGACACAGATATTATTTTTGATATTTTATTTGTAACTACCAGCAAATATTTGTAACTTGTGAGCAAACATGACTCCTCCACTGTGAGCTGATGATGTTCTGCCGAAGTGTGTTTTCTGCTCTTTTTACACACACACTGAACAACATTCGCATTGCTTGGTCACTGGTTGAGCTAAACTGGTATTCTCTAATTGTGTCGTTCAATTGAACAGCTGACAGATATTCAACATAATTCATGTGTGAGAGTCCAACAGAAGGACAAAACCAGTCACATATCAAACACTGAGTTCTGCTCACATTTATCACCATTTACTCAACTATAGCCCATACACTGATGATGGAGGGAGTGTTGAGTGTGTGTGAAAACGAATCGACCTCGAGTTGAATCGTAATCGAATCGAAAGGTTGTGTCATCGCCCAGCCCTCGATTGTGGACTTGTGCATGACTTTGCCTGCGCTTGTCTTTGCAGGTGTCCGCCGTGTCCCAGCATGCCCAGGGAGAGGCCGCCGAGCCGGCCGA